CCCCGCCCCCGCCCCCCCCCCCCCCCTTTTCCCCCCCCCCCACCACCGCTGCCCGTCTCCACCATCCCCATCGCCGTGCCGCCCCCAGCACTGCCACCGCGTCCCCGTGCTCCACGTGCCGTGAGCGTGGGTTACTGGGGTTAGTGGTGAGCAGATACGTTAGAGGGGACATGCATGCTCAGGGTGGCGAGATGTGGTTCCACACACCAGTTCTGCCCCCAACCCCACTGAGGACGTGGGGCACAGCCAGACCCCCATGGGGACCTGAGCCTGGTCACCAGCACCGGGTGGCTCTGGGAAGCCACCACTAGCCGGGCTCACCATGAGCCCTCCAAGCCCTCTCCTTGCCGTGCCAGGATGCGTCCTCCCCTTGGCACGTGGCAAACCTTCCCCCGTGGGGCAGCGACACCGTTTTGGGGTGCCGGTGAAGAGGGGTCCCCACAAGGTGGGATGTGGTGGCACCGGAGAGCTTCCCCGGCTCCCCGGGGAGCTCTTACCGTCCGTGTGCACCCGCATGGCCGAGGCCGTGATGTCGGTCGTGACGTTGAAGTAGGGCAGCCACAGGTCCTGCGGGGACAAGATGGGGTGAGTGACGCCGTGGGGATGTTGGTGGGTGGGTGGGGAGCTGGTCGGACCCCCCACCACGGGTGGGTGAAGCTCCAGGGGGAGGGGGCATCCGTACGACGCACCTCGATCTGCTTGTCCTGGAAAACCTTGTTGATGCTGGCGTTGAAGGCTGAACCCGAAAACATGGAGGTGATGGGGTAGGTGAGGTCCAGGACGGTCTCAAACACTGAATTCATGCACTGGAGGAGGAGGAGGAGGAGGAGTAAGAAGGAGAGAAGAAAGAGGAGGAGGAGGAAGAAAAAGAAGGAGGAGAAGGATGAAGAAGGAGGAGGAGGAGGAGGAAGAAGAAGGAGGAGGAAGAGAAAGAGGAGGAAGAAGGAGGAGAAAGAAAAAGGAAAGAAGAGGAGGAGAAAGAAGCAGCAGAAGAAGAAGAAAAGGAGAGAAGAAGGAGGAGGAGAGAAGGTGAAGGAGGAAGAAGAAGAAGAAGGAGGAAGAAGAAGAGGAAGAAGAGGAAGAAGAAAAGGAGGAAGAAGAAGAAGAGGAAGAAGAAAAGGAGGAAGGAGATGCTTTAGAAACACCCCAGGCAGGGCTGGCCACAGGCAGGGAGGGCCTTCGCTGGGGTGGGGGACGTGCCGCGGCACCCACCTTGGCCCACTCGCGCGCCCGCTGCTTGGTGCGGACGGCGCTGCGCTCCTCGGCGTAGAGCGCCCCGATGAAGGCACCGATGGAGGTGCCACCCACCATGTCGATGGGGATCCCCGACTCCTCCATCGCCTTGATCACCCCGATGTGGGAGCAACCCCTGGGTGGCCGAAGAAAATAAAGAGGAGGATGGACGAGAGCGGGACCCCCCACCTCCCCGGGTCGCATCCTGCCACGGCGCGGCACCCACCTGGCTCCGCCACCCCCCAGGACGAGGGCGATGGTGTTGCCGGTGAGGACCCGCGCCAACCGGGAGAAGTCGCTGTGCCGGTCGGCGCTTTTCTCAAACACCTTCTCGTACATCTCCCGCTGCGGATGGGATGGACGATGGGTGACGATGACGGTGGTGGACCACCAAGGTCACCCAGGGGGACACACGTACCAGTTTGGTGGGGCCACGTCGGGAGAAGACGCGCCGGGGACACTTGATGTGGAGGTGGCCCGAGCACCAGCTGCGCATGTTGAGCCACTCAACGGTGCGGGAAGGGCTGGGACCATCCTCGCGGTGTAGGAGGACCAACTGCTTCAGCGCACGCACCGCTGTGTTCTCCAGCATCTGCTCCAGCTGTAGAAGCCATCAGCGCGTGGCGGTGTCCCACCACCGCTTACCTCCCCCCACCTCACCTCTCCCAGTGCCGGCTCTTGGTCGCCCAACCCTACGATGAGGATGCAGTCGGCTTGACGGATGCAACGCACAGTCCACGGCGTCAGGGTACAGTCGGTTTGGTACAGGACGATGCGGTGGATGTCCTCCTGCTGCGCCAGCCAGCCCGACAGGCGGTACTCCTGGATGCTGCCGAGATGGAGGGGTCAGCCGGCGGCACGGTGGTGGGTCGCCGGTGATGTTCCTCCCAACGGGAGTTACCTGTCCAGCGCCGAGGAGCCGAGACGGGCACGGATGATGTCGCTGGTGAGCAGCAGCGTGGGACCTGGGAGAGGTGGGGACATGGTCACTGGTGTCCCACGGGGCTCTGGTCACCACCGTGCCATGGGGCTGTGATGGTCACCATGCCATGGTGCCCACCACGTCATAGGACCGTGACCACCTCCTTTCCACGGCCACCACCGCGCCGTGGGGCTGCAATCACCACCGTACCAGGTCACTGGCGTGCCACAGGACCACGGTCACCTCCACGCCACGGCCACCACCGTGCCGTGGTCACCGCTGCGCTGGCACTCACCGATGGCGTTGAGCGCGTGCTTGAGCTCCAGCGTGAAGGCAGCCGTGGGCACATCGTCACACACTGGCAGCACCGCCACCGTTGACAGGTTGCTGGTGGGGTTGGTGGGCTCCGAGCTGGAGGCCATGCCCAAGCTAGAGCCTGCATGGACAGACGCGGTGGCAGCAGGGGGACACCACGATGGGGCGTTGGGCACCTTCCACGTGCTGCTCGGACGATGGAGCGGGCACCTTCTTGTCCCCAATCCCTTCGGGACCTACTTGCAAAGGGGCCACGGAGCTGCTGAAGGTTTCCCAAGATCTTTTGGCTCAGGAGGTGGATGAGGCGGGTGACAACCTGCAGGGACGAGGACAGGGATGGCCATCAGACCTGGCAGGGCTTCCCAAGCTGGAGACTCATTAACGCCCCACGCTGGTGTCCCACCCGCCTTTTTGGGTGCCACCGCTGCCACCCATCCCTTGGGGACCTCGGAGAGGGACAACCCTTTAGCACATCAGCCCTTCTCCAACAGCTCTAATCACATCTTTAATTCCTTAATTTAAGCTGTTTTTAATGAGTGTCGCAGCCACCAGCTGGGGGGGGACGGACATGGGGACACGTTCCTTCCATGGGAAGAGGGTGCAGACCCCAGGGTGGGGATCTGGGGGGTACCTGGGGGTATCTGCGCTTGATATTGTTCAAGGTGCCCTCAGGCAGCTTGGCCAGCTCCGTGTCCCGGACCGCGTGGACCGTGGTGGCACGGGGCTGCCGGGTGAGGGCTTCCACCTGGAGAAGAAGACATATAGCCAAGATGTATCGGCAAGACGTATAGGGTGTCCATCGCTTGGCCCCGACATGGCTCTCACCACGCCGATGAGGTCCCCGCGGCCGTACTCCCCGATGAGCTCCTTCTTGCCGCTGCCCTTCTGGATGACGGAGCGGAGGCGCCCGTTGAGAGCGATGTAGGTGCAGTCCGACTTGTCACCCTGCCTGGGGGACACCCACCAGTGGGACCTCAACCCCCTGCCAAGGTGGTCCTCACCAAGCTGAGGTGGGCACCCACCTGTTGGTACCCACCTGTAGAGCGCCCGGCCGGCCTCCACCGCCATCCAGTCGATGGCGAAGTCCATCTGGCGCACGAAGGGTGACATACGGGCAGCCACGGTGTGGGCGACGCTCAGCACCACACTGGGCTGCTCCCGCATGATCCTATGGGTCAACAGCAGTTAGGGGACACGGTGGTGGCCCCAAGAGGTGCCACCGCAGCGTTCACCGCAGGAATCCCCTTTGGCCAGGAATCCCCTTTGGCATCCACCCTTTGCCCCAAACCTCCTCCGCCGGTGCCGGG